AACGCTTAATGGCTCCGGTTCGGAGATTGTGTGGTAGAGAGGACTTAAACCGGAGAAAACCGGAAATGAATTGAGTTTCCATGGAAGTTTGAAATTCGGGTTCTTGTATTGCCACCTAAGCAAATCGCTTGCTCGTTTCAAAAGACTCATTGGACAAATCGCTGTTATCTTCACCACCACTGAGCTTAGCTGTTCAGACAAAGACCAATAAAAAATTGATTAATCATTGACCCGGTATAAACCGGGATTATTGTAAACGGAAGAGTATTCCTTTAGTGTAATTGACTATTCAGATTTCCAAATATGTCCTCATTGCGTGATTAACGTGTCAACTTTTAAGTCTGACGAGGAATTGACGAGGCTTCGATTATTCCAACGTAAAGAAAGATTGAAAAGAATTTGACATGAATAATCAAACAAACAATTATAATCGACAATTTAACCAAAAGTTTTCTATACAGCAAAATCATAGCCACTAAATTTAGGAATTGCCCATTATAAATTTTTTTTTGGTTATTATACAAATTGACCCAAGATTGAATTCATATGGGTTTTAAAACATAAAAAAAATCAGAGAAGTTGGTGTTATTTTTTGCTTTTTAAGGTTTCTTAAATGGGTTGGACTCGTATCATTTTACTTTTTAATGGTAAAAAAGATTAAAAAGGGTTTTGGCTGGTTCTAGATTACTCCACACACACACAAAAAAAAAAAAAAAGATTACTCCACGTTTTATACATTTTACAAATAGTACAAAATATATATGATTTAATTTTACTCTTGTCGGTACAACTTGCACAAAAACTGATTTATGATCTATGTAACCCCACTAGTAGATTACTCCACGTTTTGTGCTATTTGGACGGTTTATACATTTTCCAAATAGTACAAAATATCTATGATTTAATTTTAGCCTTGTCGATACTTGCGCAAAAACGATTATGATCTACGTAACCCCACTAATATATGTAGTATATAAAAGGTAATGGTTGTTTTTCTTTCTAACCAAAAAAGAAATGGTTAAATATTATCGAATGATTTAATTATTCTTTTCAAACGAAAAATGAAGGAAATACTAATTAACAACACATTTCTATTTTTTTTAATAAAAACCAAAGGAATGAACAGAAATAGATGAACTTCTCAGA